ACTTCGGTGGGTCAGTGGGCCTCTTCCGCGCTGGAGACCAAAGGCACGTGAGCGTGCAGCTGCCCAGTCTCTCTGGGCGGAAGCGTGCGTGTTGCTATGATGCCTCGCAAGTGTCCATGGAGCTTCCAGACTAAGACAGACCAGGAAGAAAGGCCTGGGGATCCACTTCTGAAAACCCGATCTGCATCCAGTCACGGGGACAGCACGTTGTTCCACTGGGCATAGCTCATCCTACATCTGGCGCTGGACTTGGTAGCAAACAATGCCACACAGTCACAGGTGAGAAAATAGAGGCACCTGGAGAGGGGTCACTTGCCCAAAGCCCGAGAGCTTGAAAGTGGGGCAGTTCAGATTTCAGCCTTAGCAGTGACATTCCAGAGCCCAGAACCAGTAAGCTTCTCACCATGGAAAATGACCTTCTGCCCCAATTGTCGACTTGCACTGGATGGATTGTCTTGCCTTCAAATTACGTACTTGACTGGACTATCTAAGAACCCCTCCAGAAAAAAGGAGGCATCCGAGCCCTGCCCATGTGCGTCCTGTGGTGTGGGCCTTTGGAGCTCTTACAATCAGTGTTTTCTAAACTTTTATAGACAGTCCCTGGAGGAGGCAGAGAGAAGGGGATTGCCAAGTGAGCCAGATTGCCCTGGGCATATAGCACAGTGGAGATGGGTATGCAATGGGACAAAGAGAATGAGGAAAAATGCCAAGTGACAAGCTGAGGACATAGATAGACTGGGTGAGAGACCGGGACTGGAGGAGCAGGCACAGATACGGCCAGGTCTTTCTGTGCTCCAGCATCAAGGAGTACTCCAAAGGGAGAGGCGAGCCGGACAAAGGCGAGCCGGACAAAGGTGAGAAGGCAGGGCAGAACCGGTGAGTCTACAAACAGGAAGCAAGTGTGCAGAATATATTCTCCCCAGAGAACAGAGACCCATGTGATCTACCCACGTGATCTGTCGCAGTGTTAGTCTGGGTAGACTACAGAAACCAATCCATGGACACACATATGTATATAAGGGAGAGGTTTATATACAAGAGGAATTGAACATTGAGAAAACATCCCAACCCAGTCCAGTCCAAGGCCATAAATCTGATTATTAGCCCATATGTCCGATACCAATCTATAAAGTCCTCTTCAGACTCACAAAACACATGCAAGGAAGCCAAATGCAGGACAATCACAAGCCAGTGGGTAGAAAGTCTTTGGGTCCAGTGCCGTTGTAAGCATCTCAGTGCTGGGAGGGGTCTCTCTGGCTTCTCCAGCTTCTGAGGTCTGGTTGCATCCAATGTCTCCCAGGGAATTGCAGAGAGAGAGAGAGGTGTCTTCCACCTCCAAGGAGGAAGTACCAGATTTCCCAGAATTTTCTGGAGAAGGCCATGCCCACAGAAGTCTCATTGGCTGTCTCCAGATTGACAGCCTAGACTCCACCCCTACACTTGTCATCCTTAAATGGACTCCAGATTAGATGACCACCATGGTCACTGTTGGGTGATTTTCCTTTCCTCTCTTCTTTTTTTAGAAATCATTTTGTTGGGGACTCTTACAGCCCTTATAACAATCCATACATCTATTGTATCAGGCACACATGTTGCCATCATCATTTTCAAAACATTTTCTTTCTACTTGAGTCCTTGGTATCAACTCCTCTTTTGTCCCTCTCTCTGCTCCCTACATCTGCATCCACATTTGATGCCTCCCTCTTCCCTCTGGTCTCCCTGCCTCAGCCGGGCAGCCTCCAGTCTCTTTCACCTCTCTTGGATGTGCACACCTGAGCCTCTGAAGGGCTAGGCAGTGGCCTGCATGAGTGAAGCCATGTAGGGAGGGATGAGGGGAGGCTGGAGGGCTGTGTCCCCACTCAGGGTGATGCTGTGAATCCATTCACTCCTGGGAACAGGGACCAGCATTGCCTGATCCCCATATTGTCCAAAGGAAACTGGAAGTCTGGGTTCGTTTGTTTGTAAACTTCTCTACAGTTTTGAATGCTTTATACAATTTCATGCCAACTTGAAGATATATAAAAGTGTAAAGATGGAGTTTGGCCTGTCCATTCGGTCACAGCCTGATGGTGACTCCTTGTGGGTGTGGCCTTCTCATAAGAAGGACCCTGGGGAACTCCCCCCCTTTCTGCCTTCACCTTTCTGCGGGTGAGCCACTCTGGGACCTGCCAGAGCCCTGGAGAGAAGTCTACCACCACTGTATCCACAAGACTTTGCACCCACATTCACCAACCTGTGATATTCCTGCATTCTGCGTCATTGCATGTGGCTGTGTGAGTCTGAAGAGGGACTGATGGACTAGTATCAGACATGGACTTCAGTTGGACTGGCTGGGATATTTTCTCAATATATAATTACTTCTTGATATAGCACTCTTTCTTATACGTTTATAAATGCCTCTGGATTTGCTTCTCCAGTCAACCCAGCCTAACACAGTAACCCAATTGTTTACGGAGATTCAGGGGCCTGGCTTCATGGTGCATCCCTATCAGTTGCACTAAATATGCATTTAGTGTTTCTATTTTACCTTCAAGTTAATTTCATAGGGCCTGAGATCTTAACACTTGCAAGTGGCCTTCGAAGGTATAGCAATCAGTCGCTGCTTGCTTGGGAGAAGAGGAGTCAGGAATCAGAGAAGGAACTGGGATGAGTGTCTAATTGCCTCCACGGGGCCCGGCTACCATCACTGAATGTTTGCACCAAAAATTCGGAAGAAGAATCACCATCAAAGAAGGGGAGAGGGAATATGCATCCCCTCTAATACTCTAATTCACATGGCACCTGGACTGTCTGGAACCAGGGATGCTGGATAACCCCCTGAAAGGACTGTCCCGAGATCATCTTTAAACCACAAACTTAACCTATTATATAAACCAAACAATACCAAAACTCAGACTCACTGCCATCCAGTTGATGCTGATTCGTGGCAGCCATATAGGACAAAGTAGAACTGCCCCTGTAACTCCTTATGGATGTAGAAAGCCTCCTCTTTCTTCCTCAGAGCTAGCTGGTGGTTTCAAACTGCTGACCTTGCCGGTAGCAGCCCAACATGCAGCCACTATGCCACCAGGGCTCCCAATCAACCAGTTGTTTAGCTTAATCAGGAAAGCATGTCTGTGTTGGGCACTGTGCTTTTTGAAAGTACAATTTCTATGGGATCCAGCAGATCACAGTCACTGGCAAGTTCAGGAAGGAGGCCCTGCCAGGCTCACCAACTTCCTGTGAATGGTTGTGGGATTATTTGGAAACAGATACAGAGTGGCTGTCCAACTTGAAGGATGTAACCAATGAGACTGAACGGTACATGTAGAAGCTGTTGAGTGGGTGTCTATTTTGCTCTGTATGGTTGCATCAGTAACGAAGATGGTTACAGGGGGCCAGCCAATGCATACTGCGGACTGTGGTCTAGGAGCCCAGCTCTGCACATGCCAAGGCTGATGGTCTGATTCATTGCTCACAGCAATTTGATGGCTTCCTCTGGTTCTTGAGGAGCCCTGGTGGTGTTGTGGTTATGGGTTGGGCTGCGATCAGCAAGGTCAGCCATTCACGTTGAGGGAGAAAGACTGGGCTTCCTACTCCTGTGAAAGGTTCCAGTCTTGGACACCCACAGGGGCAATTTTATCCCGTCCTGTGGGGTTGCTATGAATCAACACGGACTCAATGGCAATGAGTTTGGTGGCTGGTTTTGTGGTTTATGAGCTAAAGATGGCATGCCTTCTCCCTGCCCAATGCCCTTCAGAATCTGACCCCTGCAAAGGTCATGCTCTTGGTGAGGTGGGGGAAGGGCATCTGGCCCAGGCCTGCTGCCTTCTCAGAGACTGTGCTTCCACACCAGGCCCTGGCGAGTGAGCAGTGAGCCATCAGGGGACACTTGACCCCTGGGTTGGAAGCTCCTCTGTCCCATCAGTTTTTATTTATTGCAGGGGAGCTAATAATGAATACAGGAATGAAGGCGTTCTAAAATCGACTGTGGTGGTGATTACACGACTCTTTTAAATAGGCTTAAACCATCTAATTGCATGACATGTGAATTTTAGGTCTAACTGTTAAAAATAAGCATAAAACCCACCAATATATGAATGGATTTTGAGCTTGCATGTATTGTAGCTGGAATCTGGGAACAATTAGTTCTTTTAACGTGGTGCTACTTGTTGAACCACTTCATGAAGTACGAAGTCCTTCTCCAGGGACTGGTCCCTCCTGATAGCCTGTCTGAAGGTCATGAGACAAGTCTTCTAAGGAACATTCTGGCTGTGGCTCCTACGTCAAGACCCAGTCCTTATCCATTTTTTAAAAGATTAATTGTGAATTGTGTGAAGACTAGTCTGTATTCTTTTTTTTTTTTTAAGATCATTTTATTGGGGCTCTTAGCTATTATAACAGATCAATTACAGACCAAGTGTATCAAGCATATTTCTACATATGTTGCCATCATTTATTTTCCAAACATTTACTTTCTCTTGAGCCCTTAGTATCAGCTCCTAGTCTTTCTTCTTGGATGGCGTTGAATTTCACTGGGTGCGGTCACTAACTTCTGGAGCAATGTCTACCCTGGACCAGCTGCTCCGCTGCCGGCCTTAGCATCATTTCCAGCAGGCGGCTGACCACTCAGAGGGAAGGACCATTTCTCCGCTTTTAGGGCTGTCATAAAAGGATGAGGACATGAGCCGATCTCGTCGGTGACGGTCTGGTCTGCTGCGCTCCATGTTTGCTGTTCACAGGTGCCTCCTTGCTCCAGTTTGCCTGGATCTGGTTCCTAGGCCGTTCATCCCCACGGGATTGTTCGCCACCCTTCCGGCCCTTCACCTACTCGTCTCCTGGGGAGATGTCAGTTTCCTAAGGTCTCCATTTTCTGGGCGCGTGACTCCAGGGTCGCGAGCCCTGACTCCACGAGCCCGGACACGCCCCGCCCGCCGGACTACATTTCCCAGGCGCCCCTGCGCAGGCCGTCCCCGCCGTCTCCAGGCGCCGGCCGGGGCGCAGTCGGGCGCGCAGCGAGCAGGGGCGCGATGGCTGCGTGGCGCGAGCGGCTGGCTGGCGTGCGCGGGGTGCTGCTGGACATCTCGGGGGTGCTGTACGATGGCGGCGAGGGCGGCGGCACGCCCATCGCCGGCTCCGTGGAGGCGGTGGCGAGGTTAGTGTCCGCGGACTAATGGCCCTGAGCGCCAGGCTTTGCTCAACTAGGCGGGGCCAGCTGCAACCGCCGGGGTGGACCCGGCCCTGGGGGCGGGGCCAGCGGCAGGGGCCGAGTCGGATGGGGCGGGGCTTCCCCTGGCCAGTGGGCGCTGAGCCCAGCCCGCGGGACCCCGCGCGGAACGGGGCAAGCCCGGGCCTCTCCTGGCCGGAGCTGCGCTGTCAGGACCATAGCCGCTCGCTACAGGTGGCGACTTAGCCCTTGAAAGGTGGCGGGTGGAACTGAGATGTCCTGGAGGTGTAACCTACACTCCAGGTCTGTACATTAGTACAAAAGGAGGATGTAGCATGGTTCAATAAAACATATATGTTAAAGGGATCATAAGAAAACCAGATTCACTGTCATCGAGTCGAATCCAACGGGTGGGGCCCCGATAGGACAGGGCGGAACTGCGCTTGTGAGTTTCCGACTGTAACTCTGCCGGCGTAGAAAGCCTCGTCTTTCCCCAGCAGAGCCGCTGGTGGATTCAAACGGCTGATCTTGAGGTTAGCAGCCCAGAGTAAGGACTATGCCACTCGGGCTCTTCCGAAGTGACAACACTTTGAATGTCCTTTGGGAAATAAAATGTATTAAACTCATTTTACCTGTTTATGTCCGTTATCTACCAAACTCCTCGTTGACAAGCCTATGCTGACTCAGAGCAACTAGCTGAACTGCCCGCGAGGGCTCCCAGAGGATTGGCCACCTCTTTCTCCCGGGAAGCAGCCGCTGCCCTTGTGGGTACTATGGAGTCCGTTCACACTCATGGCGACGTTCGGCAGAAGGAAACGCGGCCTGGCCCTGCACCCTGCTCACCATGGTTGTCCGGGCTGAGCCTGTTACAGCCACTGTGTCCGTCTGCCTCCTAGTGCCTTCTCCTCAGAGGGGCTGATTTTCTGGCACTAAATCTGACAGTGGTCCACTGCTGATTATAGGGCCTTCCGGGGCTAGTTCTTCCCGAAGTGGACAGTCAGTGGACAGTCGATTTCCTCATCATAGTCTTCCTCAGTCTGGAAGCTTTGCTGACACTTGTTCACCATGGATGACCTGCTGGGTTTTCAAACACCAGTGATGTAGCTTCCAGCATTGCAGATACCCCCAAGCCACCACAGTAAGACAGACTGGCAGATTGGTGGTGGTGGCACAGCTGGTTACTGGAAAGTATCGATTTAGTGTCCCTGTGCCTTGGAGTCAGGGTGACCTGGTGGCACAGTGGTTATGAGATGGGCTACGATCCTCACAGTCAGCAGTTCAAAACCACCAGCTGCTCCATGGGAGAAAGACGGGGCTCTCTACTCCTGTAAAGAGTTACAGTTTCAGAAACCCACAGGGGCAGTTCCACCCTGTCCTGTAGGGTCACGAGTCAGAATTGATTGGTGGCAGTGAGACTTCCTTGGGTGGTTGTTTTTTATGCGTTGGAGTGGGCTGGATGGCAGTGGGTGGTGGGTGCCTGCATTGCTCTGCTGGTACTGACGGCAGTGGGAGACGAGGACCAGGGTTGGTATTGTAGGACCCTGGGCACTAGAATTTTTGTCTGTGGCTCTGGGAAAGGCTGATCGCACAGATAGCGGCCTCCTGAGGGGTGGGGGGTGAGGGGGACCTGAGCTCGTGGCCTGGCTTCTGGGACTCCATTTACCTACCTGTAGATGGCCATGCGAGAAGCAGCCCAGACCTGGGAGACCCCTGACTGGGGGGGATCAGCAAGGTTTGAGGTTCAGTTGCAGCACTGCCTGCTTCTGCCTTGTTCTCTCTTAACCCCAAGACCCTGACCCTAGCTCATGTGGGTGGTACCAGCAGGAAGAGAGCAGAGGGTGCTGGGCTATGTGGACAGCACCTTCCTTCTTCATGGTCTGTTCTCGAGTGACTCGGTTCTGACTCAGAGTGACCCTGTGCACAATAGAAGGAAACACTGCCCTGTCCTGCGCCATCCTCACAATTGATCTTATGTCTGAGCCCATCGTTGCGGCCACGATGTCCATCCATCTCCTCGAGGCCCTTCCTCTTCTCTGCTACCCTCGACTTTGCACGATGTCCTTTTCTCCGGGGACTGGTCTCTCCTGATAACTTGTCCAAAGTATGTTAGATGAACGCTCGCCATCCTTGCCTCTGCATAGCACTCTGGCCCTACTTCTTCTAAGACAGATTGGAGATGGAGTGAGGGGTTGGAGTACAGCTGCTCTGGAAGTAGGGCCAAGGAGACCTGTGGTTGCTGGGATACAGGATGATTCCCAGGGTTGGGTGCCGTTCAGGGAGGGGAACTCATGCTGCTGCCCTGATAATTTATGACATCGGTCCCGTTCCCAGGCCAGAGCTTGGTACAGGATAGACCCCACTTTAGTATACCAACAACGTATCACTTTATCTCAGTAGCATGCTCTTGGAGCCCCAGCTTTGCATTGGGCTGCTGATTACAAGGTTAGGGGACCCACCAGCTGCTCCTTGGGAGAAAGAGGAGGTTTGTCCACTTCTGTAAAGTGTTAAAGACTCAGAAATCCACAGGGGCAGTTCTACTCTCTTCTTAGGGTGGCTCTGAGTCATAATCTGGGCAGTGAGAGAAAGCAGGCTTCTGGTTCTGTTTGAAATCAGGACCACTTAACAATTATTTTAGTCAATTACACATATTCAGACAGCCCGACGGTGTAGTGGGTAAGTGCTTGCCTGCAAATCCATAAGCCCTTCTGAGGGGGGAAGATGCGGCAGTGGGGTGGGGGGCGGTTCTACTCTGGAAACCCCAAAACCAAACTCACCCCCATCGAGTGGGAGTGGATGCCGACATAGAGTGGACCTGGAGGACAGGGGAGAACTGCCCTTTGAGCTTCTGAAACTGTGACTGTGTGCCCTCATACCCTGCCCTCCCTACGCCCCTCCGGTGCCCTAGAGAGGGACCATGGAACTGGAAGGACAGCCCTGTGACTTTAAAGCAGAGAGAAGCCAAGGAGCTCCTCTGTGGGTGGCCCAGCTGGGGGCTAGGCCTGGAAGCGTCTCTCTCAGAGCCTTCAGTAAGAACCAACCTGGCCAATGCCCAGTTTCCGACGTCAGCCCTTCAGAGCTCCAGACACTGAGCCTCTGTTCCTTCCAGCCAGTGTGTTCTGGCCACCCGCCCCAGCTCCACTATCACCTCTCAAAGAACCTGAGCAGTAAAGACAGGACCAGCCGCTGAGTGTCCCTGTCCACCTGAGGGGCCAGGAATGGCCTCAGAGGAGGTGGGCACGTGCATGCCCTTGTCGAGTGACATGTTGGGGAGCCAGGCTGGGGCTGCACCAGCGGGGTGACTGTGCCACTAAGTCTGCTGCCAGGCGTCCCCTTTGGGAGGCCCAGGGGCGGGACCCAGCCAGTGGTATCATTCCCAGAGGGTCCAGACGTGTCAAGACTTGGCACAGGTGCAACTTTGAGCTCGGGCCTCCTGATTCCAGGGCTCACAGAGATCTGGGGAGGTTTTCACTGAAGGAGGCCCCTTCTCCACAGCAGCCCTGCTGGCCGTTGGCCGACACTGATGCTCACTGCCAGCCCCTCGCTCAACTCTGTAAGTGCCCGCCCATGGAGGCCTGGGGTCCACAGTCCTGTGCCCAGGACACAGTGCCTGGTGATCCTGAAGGCTGGGCAGGCGACTCCTCCTTGCTACGGGATTTGTTCCTCTGCAGTGACCCAGTGGGCTCAGGACCAGGACAGGGTAGTCAGCTGGGGTTTAGCCCCAGGAGGGAGGCTTCACTGCACCTTCCACCTGCGGCAGTGCCTTGATATGTTGGCTTTGAAGTCTCTGTGCTACTCAAGGAAGTTCCCTGGGGTGAGGCCACTGCCCAGTGTGATGGGGCCCACCCCCTTCTCTTGTACTCACAACCCCCATTCCGCCCCCCCCACACACACACTCTGGGTTTCCCTTGGATTTTCTGAAAGCATCCCACTTATTTTTGGTTGCTTTTTAAAGATCCACAGCGGTCAGTACAGTCGGT